CATTCCTCGCCCGGCGGACGCCCACGACCTCCCTCGCTCCCCCTCTCATCTGCCCTCATCCCCCTTGCCTGCTGATCGCCCAACCCCCCTCACCCACTCACCCATCCTCTGCCCCGCTCATTTCGGCAATAGCTTGTCAGCTCAGTCGCTGACAGTCGACCAGGAGGTCGAATTCAGCCGCTGTCAGCGGCCGGATGCTCTAATCGGAATTTTCCCGTGGTTTCTCCGATCAACACCAGGCGAATGCCGGAACAGTCCCCTAACAAACGGGCCAGGGACTACGCGCGATCTCCCCTTCCTCTTCCTTGTCCTATCCTCACTCCTTACTTACACTCACATCAACATGCACTACACTAGCACACATGCCAAAAGGCCGCTCGGGAGTTTAGAGCTTGTCCGGTCTGGTGGTGTCTCGTTGGTGGGAGATACCTGGGTAGGTAAAACTCCTCTGGCTGGACCTCATCATCTAGCAAGAAAAGATCCCATCCAGATGGGAAAACATGCACTTCACTTACGGTACTAATGAACACAGCTTTGCGTCCGGAATCACTAACACTCAAACAATCAACCTCCCCCATCTCATCTGACTTATCGTTGTCCTCTGATCGCACAATCCCCAACCCTGACACCCGCATGCCTCCATCTCAATGATCTGTCCTGACACCCTCTCACCCACTCACCCCTCCTTCCGTCCGACCTCCCATCCACAGTCCCACTCGCCAACCCGCGCCACCCGCACAGCGCTCCTCAACGCGCTCGTTATTCGCAGCGCGTGCTGTTAGCGGGCGCCCATCGCCCGCCCGCAGCGTCTTCGCACCCGCCCGCTAAAAAATGAGCCCAATTCCGAAGACAGAGGCGCATTGCTCTCCGCGCTGTCAGACGCATTTGTACAAAGCGTTCGATTTTATGCAGCGACGAGGAAGCGGAGACTGTAGCCCGCGGTGGAAAAGGTTTTTTCCTCTTGGCAGGCTGACGAACCACGTACCCAGCCATATTACCTGGGAACGTTAAGAAAATGTTTCGGGACGAAAAGTAAGATTTTTGTAATTGATGTAGAAAGTAAATACACCCTTCACTGGATTATCAACCGGCCACATTCTAATTCCCTACATTTTTCACATACAATTAATTATTGCTCTTCCCAGCTCCCAAATGAGTACCCTATTTCTGACTGAAGATGAATAGTTGCAGCAAAAATGTGTGGAGATTTGTCCTGTGGATGTTTCAGACCCTTTTGAGACGGGCTGCGGGATAGATTTGATGATTAAGAAACGAAGGTGTTGGCTAGTGAGAAGTTCTTTACTCTAACCGGCATTGAAGTCTCCGGCCACAATCTGTGTTGGATCGTAAGTTTGATTGCTCAGCCCATCGCCGGGTGTTAACCACAAACCTAGTCGGGGCGGTTGTATATATGTTGATTGTTATTTATACGTTTACAACCCCCTGGATTATATTTTCATTTTATTTGTTTTACTTTACAGGGAAACCCACATATCTGTTCCCGCTCTTCCTGCATTCTGAATAAAACTCTCGCCTTTGACATTTATATCGGAGCTTTGGTTAGCCGATAATTAAACGATGAGGCAGAGGGTAACGTCAGGCGCCTTGAAAGTCGGCGAGCGGCGTTGGGTCGAGTGTGCAATAATTTACGTCGTTCGCCCGCGCAGACGCCTGCGGGTGCTGGCGGGGGAGGGGTGGACATAGCGGCGATAGAGCACCCGCTCCGTCGCGCTGGCCGTCACGCCACTTTGACCGCTCGGTGCCACATGCCGCCCGACCCGGCCTTCTCGCGCGGCCGAGAGACGAGCCTTGTGCAAATCATTTTACTGCGTATCCGAGGCATCTTCCCTTCGCGCCCGCGCCCATCCACCTAACCCTCCCCTGAGGGCCGCGCGCAGTAATAAGCCACGCTCCCGGGGCGGGGTGGCGGCGGCACCCACGACACCCGCGCGCAACGGTCCCCGCCGCCGGCCCCGCCCGCAATCGCCGGCTCGGCCCCCTCTCCTCCGGCCGCGGGTCGCCACGCGCACCCGGCCCGCCAGCCTCCGCCCCGCCGCCGCCGCCGCCGCTGCCGCTGCCGGCCGCCTCCGCCGCGATCTCGACCGGGCCCGACCTGCGAGCCGGCACCAGCGCCCAAGCGCACCCGTTTGCCTCCCACCCCGCCGCAGCCAGCGCCGTGCGTCTGCGCGAGAGACAGAGAGAGGGGGCGAGGCTGTGCGACTGGCGGTACGTCGCCGGACTCGTGGGAGAGAGGAAGGAGGCGTGCAGGTGAGGCAGTCCGAAGCCGTGCGGCGCACGCACTCCGACTCAGTCCGCAGCGTGCCGTGCCGGCAGGAGGTGACACTCGCAGCGTGCTCGTCGCCCACCCCGCCGCCGACGCGTATCGGGTCACCACCGCGGATAACTGGTGCTACACCGCCTTCGACGCCAGAGGCCACCGCCCGTCACCGGCCACCCTTCACCATCGCCTGCTTCCAACTCCACGTGTGCGCAGTGCGCGGTGCGGATTAACGTGACACTCGCTCCGCCAAGTGGCTCAGCGGTCCTGTGTGTGGGGACTAGTGACTAGTGACATGGCGCCTTGGGCGTTTGTGGTGTGAGACGCGAGTGTGACGGGATATCACCCAGAGACCTCTTCAACCGCCAAGACGGCGACGCTCGCGCTCATCCCTAGCCTCTTGCCAGAGCCCGGCCGCAAGGTATGTACGCAGACGGTTCCACGCGTCGGCGCCAGTGGGATTCTTAGCATGTGAGATTTCGACGGATGCATCCGATTATCTTTGCGCACTCTTAGTGACATCTCAACGCAACTGTGCTTTTGCGACCCGGTGTAACGCATTTTTGAAAGTAATTCTTTCATAAAACATCTACAAATTTTAATCCACCCTTATGTTAGGTAATTCCACGTTATTTGATTCTGTGTTTAATAGTTCGTGTTATACCCTTGCATTGATATCACTGAGTTGTATGCTCAGATATATTAGGTTATGGGTTTGTCTATCAGACATTGAGTGTATTATCTTACGATTGTGATGATGGTTTACGCGTTTACTTTATTTCTTTTTTAACACACGTAGTCAAAACACATAGTCAATGATACCTGTCTGGACTTTCATTCATACAGCAAGAATCTCCAAAGAGTGACAATATTGACAAATAATAACTAATAGCAATATTTCCTGCGTAACAATATTTCATTTACCTAAAAACGTGGACGTGACATCCTCCTTACTTTTTGACGGTATTTCCTGATAGGAAAATTATAATGAATATTATATTTTTAAATAGGTAAATAAAATTAAATATTGATATCTCTTAAATAAAATATAATTAAATCTCTAGTAAAACAAAATACTGTGATCAAACATGAAACGATGCAGAAGCCAAGAAGTTAGCTTCGAATACGGAAATCTATTATTAATACTTGAGTAATATATTGAATAATTAATGCAACATTTTTTGTTGATTTAATAAATAAAGTAGCAATGCATACGTCAAAAATGTAATTCGTAGAATAAGAAATCATATGACTGAATTTTCAATTCACATTTTCAACAACTCGTAAAGGACGCGATATTACATTTGCTTTTTTCTTGCTAGTAAATGTAGGGGGCCTAAGGTAGGAAGGACAGATTCAAATAATAAAAGAATTTTTTAGATAGGAATAATATATTTTAAAAATTGTGAATGTGTTTGTAGAAATATAAAAAAATTAAGGAAAACATACAAAATTATAGAAGGATTTTTCTGACGACCTTTGAACATTAATGACAACCTATAATTTTTTACGCTCCTTATAGTACCAACCATTAGTTGAATTGTAAAGAATGATTGTGTTAACGATTTGTCAGGGCTCAAGAAGTTCAAGCATTCTAGTACACATCTTCCGCAAAAAACTGGAAATATCAAGAAAACATACCTACGTCAACCGCAAGTTCTCACGTGGGATCCTCAACACCACCCCTCCGGATGCCAGTCGCATGCATGTTCCACGTTTGCTGCAACTCTGGAACAACCACAACCCATTTTATGATTCAATACAACAACAAAAAACACCCACTTAACAAATCAAGTCAACACACGCGTCATCGACGCCCGGCGGTTCCGCTGGCGCGTCCGTCGGTGCCGGAGGCCACGGCGGGCGCCGCGACGCCACGCACGCCGCCGCAGCGCGCGCGGTCGGGCCGGCCGGCCGCCGAGCCGCCGCCGCACGTGCTCCACCACGCTCCCAGGATTTATCGCCGCATTAAAGTTAGCGTCTTATTCGCATGTTGAAGTCTCCGCCCGCGCGCCCCCGCTTCGGTGGCGGTGAGCAGCAGCGATGTGTCGCAAGGCGTGCTCTGTATTCACACGTCGATGAGTTTAAGTGCTATGCGAAGGAATTAGGAAGTTACGTGCCAATGTATTTATAAATCGTGTAACTTTTGAGAACGTAGCGCTACTTCGAATAACCACAGCATCTGGAGATGAGCTTTGTATTTCCTCTGGACGATGTCGTTGAAGTTTGTGATCTACACAAGAATGAAGTATTTTATGTTATTTTAAGCAGTTGTCAATTGTGTCATTTTTGAGTGTACCTTAAGTGGCTTTACAAGTGTAGTAAAGAAGTACGCTGTATTTTTGTACATCGAACTCTCTGTATGCGTTCTTATTTTCAAGTACAAATACTTCGAGTTACAAGTCAAATGTATGTGTTACTTCTGTGTGCAAGTAAACCAGATAACAGTATTTCAGAAGTGTTAAAAAAGCATGTTACTAAAGAATACAAGAAATTGTTTAAATATGTTATTTAGAAAACTCTTGTAAAGTTAAAAAATAGTAATAGAAGTAGTTATAAAATTATTGAACATTAAATTAAAATTCGAAAAAAGAACATTTTTCGAATATACGCCACAAAACGATCATGCCTTTACGACGTACAGCACTCAGAGCATCCCAAACTCCTTCCCTCGTGTCCTTCTGGAGCCTGAATTCATGACGCCGGTTGTCACCACCGGGAAACCCCTGGGGGCATCCAGTAAGCGACCCATTTAGCTCTCCGGTCGCGCGCGTACTTTACGAGAAAGGGGCGTGGCGTCAGGCGAACGCGCGCGCTCGCGCGTGCACGGCGATGGCGGCGGCGGCGGGGGTGGAGGCGCTGCCGCGAAGCGCGTGCCCGCGCGGGCGGGGCGCGCCTCCGAGATAGCCACCTAGCGAGCTGCCCTACGATTCCATCCGATTCCTGCGCCCGCGGGCTGCGTCCAGTATTGTGAAATTAGGGGGAGGGGGTTGATGGCCTAAAACATCGCCCAAAATAATCAATGCAATGCCCTTAAAATGTGTTTAAAATGCCTTTAAAGCAAACAAAAATGACGTAATTTGTTTTATCCAAACTAGTTCAGATGAACAAATCAAACTGTAAAATGTTACTGAGTATCCTTTAACTGAGGAACAGGCTGACCCGATATTACTGCTGATGGGCTTTACAGGAACCTTATATTGCATAGTTACAAAGGCTGTCATTACAGCTTCAGAGCAAAGAAATAGAATAGGCTACTCACGAATTCTGTGGAGAAAATTTGCTGCATCTCTTAAATATTATTTCTATGAATTACCATGGAAAATTATATTAAAATCCATGAAACCAACTAAAAATGCTTTGAAATGACGGAAAAAGTAATAAATGACTTGTGAGTCAAAATCGCCGAAAATGCAAAAAAATGCCGTTTAAATTGTGTCGTTCGCTTTTGCCATAACATAAAATTAATGTCTTTATTAAAAGACATAGTTCTAAAGTGAAAAGAAAAAATGATATTTCATTAATATCCACCCCCTAGTGATTATAGCCGAGTCGCTTGCCTTCGCGACGGCATCGGCTGTTTGGTGATCCTCCCTACGCCATGCAATAAAACATCCACTGCGCGGAGTAAAGTATTTTCAGTTCGGGTAATCTGTTCCGATGTGACGTTCTCCTGCCAAGGGCTGCATTCGAGTATCGCTTTCATGTACTCTGGTTCACTGAGTGTTCCATTCGAAGCAATGGTCACATATTTTTTAAGAGGTACTGCGTCGTGTTATTTTCTCTTGAGAATATCGAATATTTCTCAACAGTACCTCTATTTCCTGTAGCAAACATTTTAATTTCTTTTCCTTCAAAAATAACAAACTTTTTGACGTATCTATTCGAAAAATGGAATCTTTAAAACTTTCTGCATTTTGCTGCAAAATAAATCACAAACAAAAGCAAACGTTTGTGTCTGTTTAAGAAAAGACGTAACGCCTAATCATTAAAAACCGAAGTGTAATATACATTAATTTGAAAGATAATGATTAAATAGTAACATCCCATACACTCATATTCGAGAACATGTACGTCAGCACGTCTTTCGCAGCACCCCCACACCACACACCTCATGGCGCTTGCAAATCTCCCTGACGACCATCTCCCGAATCGCTTACCTCTCCCGCGTGCCCTCCGAGCCACCTCCAAACCACCGCACCCCCTCTCGCCGCATTTCCCTGGGTTTCCCGCGTGAGTTGGGCGCCCGCCAGGCGCTGGGCGAACCCTCCAACTCCAACTCTCCGCCCGCCGCCGGCCGCTCGCGCGCGCGCGCGGGCGCGGGCGCTCGGGCGTCAGATTTCGTCAACGCGCCGGTTAGCATGCGACGCGCGCAGCCCGGTCGCACATTTCGACACTGCCATATCAAATCTTCGGGCGCAGAGACGCGCGCTCGCGCGCGGCGCGCGGCGAGTGGGCGATAGACGCGGGCGTCGCCGGCGGACGCCCCGCGCGGCGCGGCGTGCGACGAGCCGACGGCTGCGACGCAGGCGAAGCGCGAGGACGTGGAAAGACGGCGGCGAGGAGATGGTGCGGGTAACAGCGGCGCTCCAGCGACTGGGCACGGCCAAAGTGAGCAGAAACAAGTATGAACACAAACTAGTCATTAAAAATTGGGATTAATTATTTGCTTTACGTAATCGGCATCAGAGTAAGCCATTCAATAATGGAAATTGCAACAAAATAAGAACATTCGCTCATAACCACGATAAGAGTAAAATTTGCAATGAAAGTCTCTATATTATGGGAGAGATTAATTCAAATATTTTTTGAACTGATATTCGCATGTTTTATAAATTACATTTTTAATTAAATAAATATTTCGAAAAAATATTGGTAATATTACACAAAGCTGATTATTCATAAAATAATATGTTGAAGTAATAAAAAAATGTATATAATTTAATTTTCGTTATGAAAGTATTGTAAGAAGGAATATATATTTCGTTTGTTATTTTCACAATTAGCTCATTTCATATATTACTTACTGGTTAGTTATTGTGAACGCGAGAAGACTGCGAATAGAACACTTGGAACGTCCTGGAATATTAACACCTGGCTTAATCATACATTAACACACACACACACACACACAAATTACATCAAAAGCGCTCAGAGGTCTGAAACTTCACCACATGCGCGATGCTAACGCTGGAGTCTAGCGTGCTATTCTATCCCCCTGCGTGTGAAAGGCTCCCGACGACAACCGGCGAGAGCATGTTCAAAGAGAAGGGTGTGTCGATTAAAGAGCTGCAAACGCTGAACAAATTCACTGGG